ATATTTCTGTTCGTATGTCCGTCTTGGAAGCAAGGTACGCCATGTTCTCGGTCGTTGTATTCAGAGGGAAATAGCTGTTTTCAGTAGAAGGGAGACAGAGGGAGCAGAAGGCGATAGAGGAGGAAGCGAGATGAAAGGGCACGAGGAAGTGAGAAAGGAAGACAGACGAATGACAGAAATGCATAGCCGTGGTGGCTGAAGTAGCAGCAGCAGCAGCAGCAAGAACAGGCCAGGCACAGCGGCAGCAGCGCACAGAGGATAGGATAGGATAGGATAGGATAGGATAGAATCGCGTCGTCCACGCGTAATTCGGGGCGTGTGCTAGGTTGGCCGTATTCCCTAGCTCGTGTCCGTAGCTACGTATCGAAGATGTACATGCAGTGGCAGTGCGGAATACGCGTCACCGTCCCGTGACGACAACGTTCGAGAGGTGTGAGGACCGCGAAGCACGGTGTGGGCAGGTCGCGGCCATTTTTACCACACGATGCGGCAACCGTGCGTGCCCGTTCGATCCGCCATTCCAAACAATCGGTGTACTTCGTGCCCTCGCAGGGTGCATCTAGCCACGACGACTCGCGGGGACACCGTCGAGAAACGATAATACGTGCCACATTATCGTCGAGACGTGGAGACACATCATCGCTTTTCGTCGTGCACGGCCATCGGAGACGAAAGCTCGTGAAAGCCGGCAGTGTTACTGGTGTGCGGTCGGCCTGGTGGACGTCGTCGACGACGACGTGGAGGAAGAGGAGGAAGAAAAGAAGAAGGATGATGTACGATGATACGGTGTACGATGGTGTGCGATGATCATGGCGAAAAAGAAACGACTCGAACGGGACGGCTCTGTACACTGGAACATGAATATTAAATAAATACATTTAGCGGTCGGAGCTGTCGGAGCATGTCTGTGATTTCTGTTTAATCATTACGCAGTGTTGTTCACCGATGATAGTGCACACCAGTTTAATGGCCAGTGATTTCTCTTGGTTTCTTTCTTGGTGTTTTGTCGGTCTCCGCCGTTGTCGTCGTTGTCCGCCCTGTGCGTGCGTGTTTCGCGTGTACCTCCTCGCCACGCACATCGGACTCTCTCTCCTCTTCCTCAGCAGCGCGATCGATGTGACACCGTGTGACCGCCTGTACAAACGTCTTTTACCAACGAAAATCCTCTCTCTCTCTCGTTGATTCTCGTTCTCGTAGGACCGTCGCAACCGTGGAACTGATTCCTGGAATACACGGGAGGAAAAAATACGGGGTGATCAGAGCTGGCAGAGTGGTGTGCAGATGCGTGTGTCCCGTCGGTAAACGTCCGCTGTGCCCTGCGTCTTCTCGCGAGTGTGTATTCAAAAAGTCAGTGTGTCTTTCTTACTCTCGCTCCCTCCATTCTCCCCCCCTAGCTCTCTTTCTCTTTCTTATTCATTTATTCTTGTTTCCTCTGTTTCCCGTTCCCGTGTCCTTTTCTCATTTCACACTCTCGTCACCTTTCCTAATCGTCTCTCTCCCTCTCGCAGCAAAACAGCATTAAAGACGACCGTAGATAGAATGCTCGACGATACCACGATAATACAACGGCTGTCATCGTTCGCGTCGTCGTCGTCGTCGTCGTCATCGTCGTCGTCGTCGTCGTCGTCGTCGTC